TCTTTTGACCTTTTTATTAGTCAGTTCTCTCGTGAGCCTGCTCTCCCTACAGGGAGGTATCGAAGACGAACGTTTTACACTCTATTTCAGGTGAAATTTTCACTATTTATCGAATGGATCTGTTGAAATTTGAGCGTGGTCTTAATAAACCATTCGAGACAAAGGTATAATGTGATAAAAAATACCAGCCAAAGAGCAATCGAGTGTACAACACTCTGTGTTAGGTGAAAATTTCACTTGATATAAAGTGTAAAACGTTCGTCTTCGATATCTCTCTGCAGGGAGAGCAGGCTCCTGAGAGAACTGACTAATAAAAACATAGAAAGACGACGGGTTCTGCCCGAGTGACGAGTCTGCAAGGACGTAACACATGTATTTGGTGTACAAGAGCCCTTACCTGACCACATAACATGTTGGCTCAAATAGTAATGAAAGGATCTATTGGATTTTGAGCGTGGTCCTAATAAAACACTCGAAACAAAAGTATAATACGGAGTATCAACAAATGATAATGAATGATAACAAACAATGCTGCTTCATTTGACTAAGCTAGCCTGAGTTTAGCTATTGGAAAAATATTTTCGGTCGGGGTTTCAACGTCTTCAGCTTCTTCTGAACCATTTTGATTCGAGTCGAAAAAATGATGCAAACGAAAGCAAAGGAGAAAGAAAAGAAAAAGAAGGACAATAATAAAGAGTTAAGAAGTTAAAAAGTAATAGAGAAAAGGAAAGTAAAGAAGAAAAATGACAAGCACTATATATATTTATGGATTTATATTTCTGTATATATATGTATATATATATATATATTTATGGATTTATATATCTGTATATGTATATATATATTTTTTTTGCATTCTCTGATTCAGAACCACAGCATCTAGTCCGTAGCGTGTTATTACTGTTGATGATAATATCTGAGGCATCGCATTTGATGTTTACTCGCTGGAGATTCCTCATTGAGTCTACAAGTATATAACAACATCAGTCGATAATAAAAGATGTTTGGAGTATCGTGGGCCGTCTTCGAGCAACTCGTAAATTGACAGTTTACTGTTTCCTGTAGATTTTGACTCAAAAGCTACTGAGAACTATAGTTGCCTGACTCCTTACAAATTTCAATCAATTTATGACCTCTAGGAAGTCTTACACATAGAATTATTCTTCCAACTTTTAAAATGGGCAGACCAACACCAAAAGTGCAAAAATAAGACTGCTTGTACCATTTTCAAAAACTCTTTGCTTTTGTGATTCCGAGATCATTTTATTGTTAACAATCTCCAAGTACTGCTGCTGTAACGCTCGTTTGTTGTAGCGCTTTGCAATCCCGGAGCACTTAAACTGCCTCACTTTTACTTATCACCATCGAAAAACGAGTGTGACATTAATGTCTGATTTCGAAGTATCCTGGAGATAACTTACAAGTCAATTGTATTCTTCAATGGTGTTGTCTGTAACTATGGCTTCCGGTTTAAAAAAGCTAACAAATTCGAGTCGATATTCTATTCGAAAATTTTTAACGCCTGCTTTCCTCAAGGTGTGATTTTCCTCTATTCTGTTGAGAGAATCTTTTGTTGAGGAAGACAATTTGAATTTTCTTAATCATCGTCGTCCGCAGAAGATAATGAGCCTAGAATCACGAAATGGGCTTTGCACACATCACCATGCCCGAGTTAGACTACCATTATGGACGACAAATGCGCGAGAGAGAAACGAATAAAGAGACTATGTAGGGCTCGCACTACTAGTGAAAACGGTCATCCAAGTATTCAACTGATTATCTAGTGATAGTTGCAATGATTTGAATGATTAACTCGAGTAGCTTCTTCGTTTAATTTCCACCATGTGTTTAGACGGCCATCTTCTTGGACACCTTCTTGAATTTGAGCGCTGTTTAGCGAGCGATGTTCCATCGTCTTGCTTAATCTTATGGTATGTACCGATATTTTTTTGGCTCGCGTCTTGAGGTTTCTCATTAGAAGCTTTCCAAGCCGGCTCGAATGTTTTGTAAGTAGAGGCTAAGTAGTGTGTAGTTCTGTGGCAGTTTTCATAAACAACATTTCTTCACTGTGATTATTGAATACATAGTCAACTCGAAGTGATGTGAGATTTCAGCAACATAGGCGCACTTGTCAATGACAGTATGACGAATCTTGTTTTGTCTAGGTTAGGAAATAAAGGCTTCCGGTTCAACGCTTTTTGGAAGGATGTTAATGGGTATTTTGTCTGATTTTCCCAGAAAAGACACGCAGCAATGCAGTGAGGCAGTTTCTACCTACTTGGTCGTGGATTTTTAGGTAAAAAAAGAACCAGCGGGACATAATCCGGCTATAGCACATCATGTGCACACATAAATACATATTTGCACGAAATATCAATGAAGCAGACGAAGCAAAAAAAACGAATTCATAGAGTGAATCTATTTCTATCTCAGTGCAGTTTAAGATCGCTTTTGATCGCATTTATTCTTCATTCTCCCATCCTTGGACCGTCCACGTTGTAAGTAGAGGTTAAGTAGTAAGTAGTTTGGCTGCGACTAACCTAGGATCTCTTGCTGAGTGCGGTACGTGGACAGCAGAAAGTCCATTAGTATCACTGGACCTTGATCTCTCATCAACTAGAATGTTGTGCGATAAATGAACTGACTTGGATGTAAACAATATGCATCACTACGTATTTACCAAAAAATAAAGAGAAGTGCCTACACTGTACTTGCTAGTCGAAGGATAAAGGATAGTGCTACTGTGCTCTCAGAACAACATAGCACCAATTATCCGACGACTGCGGAGGAGGGAACTCATGGTGAGACTGGGGAGCAGAATTGAAATCAAGGACCACTTCCGTATTGCATAACGACGTTAACCAGTGTGCAACATGTGTGCAGCTGGAAGTATTTTAAAATTAGCACTTGCTAATTTAACTCCAAGCTATATTGTTAAGCGAGCAGCGTAGTGGTAGCTGTTCATTATGAACACTGTTCTGATCGTCCCCGCATTCACAAGTTATCAAGTTTTTAAAGGAACTGTCCTCACTAAATGTTGAAATATCACAGAGGAAACATCAGTATGAATAATTCTGATTGAATCAACGCCAATGCTCCCTAAATCCTTCATTTTTCAGAGAGAAAAACCACTTCCTTGCAAAAAGAAATACAATTCTCATTGCTAGTGAACATTTTTCTTATTTCACTCATGTTTTTGTAATTAATCGATAGTCTAAAAATTTTGATTTAGTACTGATCTTGTTTTGTGAAACAACTTTCATAGTACATACTACTATTGAAATAAGAAAGCGTTTTGCAACCGGAGTTCGTTTTCGTAACCTCATAGAGGATTCTTGGGTATTATATAGCACGATTTCGATTCTTTGAAAACTTTATCGTTGAGGAACGGTAGATTATTGTTGAAATCACTTTAATAGACGTGTTTTCAAGAACGAAAACGCCCAAGTCTCTTTGAATCCTAGCTTGCGAATACGATGTCTGTCACCTGCAGTCACAATATATGGATTGACTCGTAAACTCTGGCTTATCTTTATTAGGGTCTCCACTATCACATTTTTTCTTTTGCCAAAGATCAAACCCTTTGTACTAGCAATGAAAATCTAAATTTTTAATTAGAAAACTACCACATGTGCGTGCATCGGACAGGGCCCAGACAGAGCTATTCGTAGCCTTTCTAGCCCCACATGCCAGCCAAGATAGCCGCCGTCCGGATGGTTTAGCTCACTTCTTCTACCATTTGAGAACGCTCTCAAAGGATTATTACATATCTCAAAAAGGAGTTAACGGCAGGATACGATGTCAAGTACAGCTACAAGAGTGCTGAGATACATGCAAAACGATGGAACTTGACGTATATGGAGTACTTGACGTACATGGAGTAGACTCAAAACACGATCATCCTTCAAGAGTGCGCGCGCGTTCGCACAACAACATCGAGGGCCTCGTTCTGCCTTCCTCTCAGCTGTGTTTTGACCGTAATCTGCGGTTGTCAGGAATTACCTGTTAACGAGATTGAGCAGAAAAGAAAGTATTAAACCCAGTTAAGCTGAAGTTGAAGGCGTGGCCAAAATCACAGTGTCAACGCTCAATTATACTTATGCCCTGTTCATTCAGCCAACCCTAGTTTCAAACTATAGTCCAATCTCGCTGACGGGTGATCGTTGACAGCCACACATTACTGCTGAACCATAGCAACGTGAAGACCTCGTTGGTAAAGTGCAAACGAGCGCACCCTCGTAAAAAGTAGTCTCACTCTGAACTCACTTCAGATTCTTAAGTCGAAGTTTTACTCGTATTTCCTCACTATTGTAGTTATAGTTCACATTGTGCGCTGTCCATTATGTCCACTGTCGCTGTTTCAGCTCGCGTTGAAGTATTAAGTTGCTAATCATTGCTAGAATTAGTCACGATCAATCAAAATTGACCTAAACATAAAGAATAATGTGTTTCAACAAAACTGAACAAATTTCACTGTTCCACGCGAAGATTCCCCATGAAGTTTTCTTAATTTTTTACTTACTATGAAATCCTTGACTTTAGCCATGAGCGTATCTACTTTGTACAAGGAACATCAAATTGACAATATCGACGGTACAAAAGTCGGGAGAACGATCAGATTGCAGTAATTGATGGGGTCCTATTCAAATGTTATCAACGTATAGCGTACAGAGAATGTTTTTACACGAGATACAAGTCTCCTGAGACGGCAAAAGTGATCTTGTCCACCATTCAAACATACTTCTGTCAGGCAACCATTGATACCTACTTTTCGATAAGTAAGGAACTTGACAAATCAGAAAGTTAACGAACTTATAGACAATACTTACAATAAGCAACCAGAATTTATTTTATTCGACCGCGTATTGCAGTGTATTGATGTTACAATAAACCCAATAATGTAGAGTGAGTGTGCAAAAAAACCGTATAAAAAAGGCCGTAGACGGTTGGCAGTTGACTGTTAGCGAGTTATAGCGTAGAAAGAGCGGTATGCAAAACGAGCGTCGGTGGTTCAACGGTTAAGCACACGCTCTCGGAAAGAGTAAGATCTGGGTTTGAATCCCGGCTGACACAAGTAATTTTGCGCACCACTCTACATTATTTGAGGAGACTTTGTTATGGTGTGTACATGCTACTATATACTATTTCATATGCAAACGCTCACTCATCTCAAGCCTTACCAGCTATTTCTAATTGTTGCGCATTTTTTTGGGCACTTTATTATCCGTCTTCACAATGTTTTTTTTCCACCGTACAGATCCCAGTATTCTTCTTGAACGTCGTAGAATACTGGTTGAGATAGTCTTTTTACAATCACGAGGATAGCATGGTTGTGGCTTCCACAGGGTGTTCATTTTTTATTGCCACAGAGTACGGGGCGGGTAAGGTTCGTCCTCGCACGCGATGTGACGAGCATCAAAACGACTAGGCCTTGGCGCCCCCAATGTTGCGTCTCAGTGTATGAAATATGATAAGCTTGGTATACAACCTAACTGAAAACTAGTTCTTGTGTATCTGAATAAATATGGGAAGAGATTTTTGAGTTGATCCCAGTCATACTAATTTGGGTTCAATAGGCTGTGAAACGAATACAGTCGACATCTTGAGGGGAACCAGCGCATGACTGCACTGAATAACTCACAAAAACAATACGCATTGTAAACATTCGGAAAACATGTGATTCTTCTGCCGTTCTTTTATAGATAGTTGAAGACGGTGTAAACTAATAAGCATGAAATTCGGTATACATTTAGTAATTTTGCGTTAACATTTCTCAATTAGAATATCCTCATTAATTTTAATCTTAACTTCAGTGAAGGCGACCAAATTAAATTCAGAAATCATGGTAGTGTAGCAGATCGTTTCTAACAATGAACAATTCGATGCAGCTTTAACAATATCATCAGTCATTCTCCTAGGGTAATTTTCTATGTCCATTACTTTCGCTGAAATTACGTGCTGATATCGTGGTCTCGTGCGAATTAAGAGCGATTTCACTCGTTTATTAGTCGTCATTACATAACCTTTGATATTGATCATCTCTTGAAGCTACGTATCATTAAGACATAAGTCCCATGTTGCTCTACTAATGATACAACCACAATGAATAGTGAAGCACACTGGTTAGAAATGCCCCGTAGTAACACTTGTTCGCAGGTATGTATCGTGTCCCAAGCTTACTAGGCCTTCCATCCTAATTCGTATGGTGAACTGATGTCAGATGTGTATGTGAGTGCAGTGTACTTACTCGGACTTATTGGTAGGTCGGTAGGTCAACGAAAGCCATTACAAGGTCCATGCATGAATTGCCTCTGCGATGATACAAATTGAGAGCAATACATGGCGTAATATTTCACAAATAATCTCAACGTCGACTCTTTATCCTTAAGTTCTTGTGGCCTAATGGCAACGAATGTCCACGTTAAGTTGTTGGAAGCCTTGCTGATGTCCGAGCGACAGGAGACGGGATCGCGCGACGAGCGCAGTGTGTGGTGGAAGTTCAGTGGTTTTGCTGTGTGGTCCCTGGATTTGTCTCAGGCAGTGACCTGATCGATATCCGAATATTGTTGGATTGTCCTTAGCGGTGCACTGACCTTTGTGTTGTCACACGTTGAACTTCCGGGTTGCGGCGATTTTTGCCCTTTGAAGTGGCTGGTTGCACTTCCAAGTTGCTATGGACTGAACTTTAGTCTGTGTGACCGTGTCTTCTGCCAACTTGTCTCTTGTAACCGACAAGAGCACAAAGTTTAAATCCTTTTTATGGGTTATACAAAACAATGTGGTGAAACCAAACAATGAAATGGTACCACCAAACAACCTATAATTTACATACATTACTGTAATATCATAAGAACAATATACATACGGTGGGGTCGTATCGTTATGTGAACATATGTCTGTGAATGTGATGTTTCGTCTTGTGACGATGATATGAACAAGTGAATGTAGTTGATGAGATGTATCGTCGTTGACGATACCATGGATGCTGTTATTAACGGAACATGACTAGACGGCGGAGCTCGTTTGGGGTTGCTATGTTCGCCCCCAAGTAGAAGCACCGGCGGCAGGATCCAGTGGGTGAGTATATAGTGTTAGCAGTGGAGTCACTACTGATTAGATATGGGCAGAATCCCTTAACCGCGGTGGTGGGCCGAGCATAGCCTGAGTGAGTTTGTTCCGCCACGTAAGTGATATGTTCCGCTCACAATTCTATTGTGTTCATCTGACAGTTGTATGAGCGCCGCAACCTTATGATAGCAATTAGTTATACGATAACGAGACTATGTGGAGAGAGCAATAATGAGTCGATAATGAACTGAGGTGAGGTGGTCCAAGTGATGTCAGACGACCGTTTGAATAATGCTCGGCGATTTTGATGCTTATTGAGGTTGGTGGAGTTGGGTGCTGCCCTCGCCACTTGGACTATTTTCTGTCCAAGGTCCTCGAACCTCTGCGATACCACTTGCTCTCTAAGGTCTTGGACCATCTGCGTTGCCTAAATTATCATATAATTCCCGTAAATATAGTAGAACTTCCTTGGGAGGTTTGCTAATACAGCGTGCTATTATGACAATGAGATAGTTTTCTGATGAAACTTTATTTTTTTCCGCCACCGATGTCTCTTCATCAAAATCTGTCAACAATTTTTGAATATTAGAATGTATCAGGAGCTAGAACCTCCGCAGAAACATGCAGGGAACTTTTCCAATCGTTTTATGGGTGCTAGCTTTTTTTGAATATCGACTTGCAGCTTACTATGCACATTATTCATGTTGCAACCGCTGCCACAGGTTACGCGCACTAAATCAAACACAATCTTCATTTCGTTAATGCGACGTTCATTTTTTTCTAGAAAAGGGCAGGCAACATGGGCACATTGCACAGATTGTGTACTAAAAACTGGATATTTTTAGAATAACTCGTCCTCCTTCTCCTTGAAACTATCTTTCTGGAAAATTCTTCTGGATTATTCCATCTTTTATTAAAATTCTACTATATAAGTAATAACAAATCCGCTGTTAAGTTAAGAAAGCGTTCTAATTATTCCGAAAGCAGAGCGTTCTTTTCTTTTCGTTAGTAGAAGTTATACTCAAATCTTCTCATCAACCAAGTTCAGTACTGAAATCAGATTTCCCATGTTGTCGAATGATTACTAATAGTTTAATGTAAAATTAATTTCAGTAAAAAGGACAAAGATCACAATACATTTTACAGAGGGCGGTTGCATTCCATACAACTCGTAATAAAAGTAGATTTTTTCAGGACAACTGTGCGCCTTCAGTGATCGTATATCTTTTCGTAACGATGAAATTTGCTTAAAGTAACTTATATGGAAGATTTTCACAAATTGATGCCAATAAATTCATCGTAAATTGGAAACATCATGCTACGAAAGCGAAATGTTATTGGGAAACCGACAATCCTTCAACTTTAGCATAACACATCAGTCACATATTCTTTGGTGATTAAGCGAAGGCACGAAGTTGTTGAAAAACTTATTTCTTCAGCTGATGTTTTAACGCTCATCTTCTTCACAACTGATTGATCCAGGCCGACGCTCTTCAGTCGTTCGTCCTCGTTGTGGTGTTTGTTTTTGCCAGCGTTCAAGTCTGATCATTTTCGGAGGAGCAGCGCTTGAATAAGAATCCACTCGGCAGTGCTCCTTCTAAACAAGACAGTTGTTTATGATAGTGATTGCCTGCTGATGATATTTTGTTCTCAGCAAACAGTCCACCCTGTAGCAATCGGTATGCCCGCTCTTATAAAAATAGTAAGCCGACTCTTCCCTAACTTCGTTGCAGCAAATCAATCACATATTATTTGGTGATTAAGAGAAAGCACAACGTCAATAAGAAGCTTATTAATTCGGCTGAAGTTTGACACGTTTCGTCTTCGTCCAATTACCATCAATTATTCAATTATCGAAAGTCAGTTTTGCAATCATTAAAGCGCTATATGCTAGCGAATAATTATATCGACTGCTGCAGGACGAATCGTTTGCTGAAAACGAAAATGTTATCATTCATTATCATCAACAACCGTCCTGTATAGGTGGAGCACTGTCGAGTGAGTTTTCGTTTGAGCAGTGCACTCCGAAGAAGATCCGCGACTCGAGCGATACTGCGAACAAACACCACAACGAAAACGACCGACCGATTGTAGAGCATTGGCTCGGGTCAGTGGGTTCTGAAGAAGGCGAAACGCGTCAAAACGTTAGCCGAATAGATAAGTTTCTTAACAACTTCATGCCTTCGCTAGAACACTAGAGGGATTGTAAAGTGTTATCCTATTTCCTCGTTAACAAAGCATACTATGAACGTCCCTTCACAAACGAGGTTTACTGCTAGAACTTCCAGTTTTCGAGCTGCCGAATCATTACTGATAGTTCAATAAAAAAGCTCTCCTTTACGGAAAAAAGTCGACGAAATACGAAAATATTCTACACAATGCGACTGCATCCCACGGAATTCGTCATTGAGAATGGAAATTCCAGAAAAGTGGGCGTTCTTCCTACTAAAAATGCATTTATATAAGTTTCCTCAGAGATAATCTATTTTTCTGAGCAACTCGAGATTTTACTATATAACACCAAGGAAATCCGCTGTGAAGTTGAAACAACGCATTTCAAAAGCAAAACATCATTTTTGTTAGTTGAATGTAGTATAAAGGCTGTTTCGCGAACCAGGCTTAGTGTCGAAATTTCCATTTCTCAAGCTATCGAATAGCATCCTGCGTTAAAACCGCGCAATGTTATATGACAAATAGAAATAGGTTTCTCTTTGAAATGATGTGCTTTTCCCTTAGAAACATAGGACATCTTCTCATACGTGAGCGTTCTATGTACTACAGAAACCTTCACAGGAACTTCTTCTGTCATATACCACCATTTACTAGTGTTAATGTACTCTTTAAATCTACATTTACCAGAGTGAATCCTACATTTCCGCTGCTGTATGCGCAAGCACAAAATTTTTTTTTTTGCAGAAACTTGAAAACGAGGAGAATGATAATGCAACCTATATACCGCATACTCAGACAATCTTCTTGCATTAAGTTGAGTCGAGCCTATTCCA